AAAGGCTGGAGACAAAAGTGGGAGGTGTCGGAGTGGGGATGGGAGCTAGGATGTGTTCTACACTCTACATTCTTGGGGTCAAGGGGGGGTGAGGCAGAAAGAAGAGCATCCTCTCCCGCCCTGCTGCGTACTACTGGCTCTGAAGGGAATGGGTAAGAGAAGAGAACAGGTGGCAGAGGCAATTATGCTCTTCCTGATAACCAAGAGTGGAAGGGGCCAGCACATATAGGGAGAGGAACCAGTGTGAACAATACAAATCACAATGAAGTATTTTATCATTCAGTGTGTATTCACAGGCCTCCCCAGACATTATTAGAAGGGAAAAGTAAATATACAAAACACTACTTTGGGTTAACTAGAAATACTTTTTTGATATCCCAAATAAACCCTTGATCCTGGAAAATATGTTCTTAAAGAATTTTCAAACACACATATGAAGAGCATTAAGAGGTCTATAGAAAATCACTAAATGAGATCTAAGTTCTGCAAAAGCCAAATAATATTAAAATAAGTGTGAAAGAAAAGAGCCCTGTGTGGCACTATTGAAGAAACTACCTGCCTTCTAACCACAAGGGGAAGGCGGAGGGCCCGGGGGCCATAATGAATGCCATCTCTCCAGAGGATAGTACAGGAGGATAATTTGCTTTAATAATTCAGTTTTTCATTTGGCTTCAAGACTTGTCAAGTAACAAAGAATTAATACACACATATACTACATTAATTTTGTATATACAAATCCTTTGCAAAAGCATGGGAAAAGGTCTCACGAATTGTTTGATTTGGAATGAACAACTGGTACAAAACAACACTGAAGATCTTGAAAACAAGGTGGGCCTGGGCCAGGCGATCCTGAAAATCCCTTAGTGTTATCCAGAATAAATCTATCTAGTAGTGATGCTAATTCACCCTTTCCATTTAGTTACACAGGCATATCTCAAGGTAAATTATCAAAAAGGAAGTATTGGATAATCCTCAAATCACTAACTCCAATCCAAAATTGTTAAAATAGGGTCTTTTAAACTTATCTTTGCTTTAATGTTAAAGAGAGAGAAAGAAACAGAGAGAGAGAGAGAGAGAGAGAGAGAGAGAGAGAGAGAGAGAGAGAAACATCAACAAAGAAGGTGGATAAAGGATTATTTACCAAACATAATCACACAATGTTTAAGAAATAATCACATGGTAAAATAACATACCAAGAAAACAGGCTATTTAACTACTCTTAAGGGAAAAGGGGTGGGGGGAGGAGTAAACAGAGTTTAAAAGCAATGTTTAGGGTTTCAGATACAAATTGTGGTAACAGGCAGAAATCAGGAGAAATCTTCCGTTCCATCTCCTCTGCACGGTCCTAGAGATTTATTTACGGCCACGTGATTGCATCAGTTTGGTCTTACCCTTTGCCTGACTTTACAATCTTCCCTGGAGATATTCCCTGGACTGCCCTTATGCTTCAGAGAAATCAGCCCTATGTTGTCAGATACTGGCTCTCAAGTAGGTCCTGCTAGTAATTCCACTTTATGGAATGCCACAGTTTCGTCAGAGGCATTGGAAAAGATTTATAACTTTGGCTGCCTGTTTTCTGATAATGAAGGATTTGAAGGGAGGGAAGGGTGTTGCTTTTTGCTTTTAATAGTTGACCATTTGGGGCTGTATTACATTATAATAGCTAAATCATGGTTTATCTGTTTGTGTTATTTTCTCTCTCTCTCTCTCAATCTCCGACCATTTGGGGCTGTATTACATTATAATAGCTAAATCATGGTTTATCTGTTTGTGTTATTTTCTCTCTCTCTCTCTCAATCTCCCGTTCTCTCTCATTTCCTAGTAACTAATCATGTTGACGTACTGTTTTAATAGTACCACCGATTTTTGTCCTTGTCCTGTGATCCCTGGGTTCCTAAGTTCACACCTCATTTTTGGATATGTTTTTCTTTTCATGTTAAATACTTTCCACAAGAGGTCAAAGCAAGCATGACAATTAACTTTGGCATTTCCGAGTTGAAGAAACTACGCGTTTTTTTTTTTCAGGACAGTTTCATATTGCATTCTCAGTTGAAAGGGTTCCCCTAACTCTACATCTTAGGACAGGTTGTTTGTGAACCACCAGTCACCCTTACTTACTCTTGGAATCAGCTTGGATTCAGACTGAGAAGGCGCTACAGCCTTTGAAATCACTATAAAGGGCATTCATAGGCAAAGCCAAACCAAAACAAACCAAAACAAGAAACCCTGATTTAAACTCACATTTTATACAAAAATTAACTCAAGCTGGTAACTGACTTAAATATAAAATAATACTATAAATCTTTTAGAGAAAAGAAAGAAAATCTTCAAGATCTAGGGTTGGGCAAAGAGTAGTTAGACTTGACATCAAAAGTATAATCTATAAAAGAAAAACTAATAAATTGAATCACAGCAAAATTAAAAATTCTTGTTCTGCAAAAAACACTATGAAGAGGATGAAAAAAAAAAGCTACAGACTAGAGAAAATATTTGCAAATCATATATCAAAGAACTAGTATCTAGATGCATAAAGAGCTCTTCAACTCCCACAATAAAAATCCAGTTAGAACACAGGCAAAAGACATTTAAAGACATTGCACCGAAGAAGATGGATATAGCTAATAAGCACATGAAAAGGTGTTCAACTTCTTTAGTCATTAAAGAAATGCTAATTTAACCACAATGAGATATCACTGCATACCTATCAGGATGGCTAAAATAAAAGAGTGACAATATCAAACGCAGATGCTGATGAGGATTCAGAAAAATTGGGTCATTTTATACATTGCTGATTGGAAGGAATGTAAAATGGCACAGTCACTTTAGAAAAGAGTATGGCAGTTTCATCCAAAATTAAATGTGCACTTATCATTTGACCCAGCAATTTCACTCTTGGGCATTAACCCAGTGAAATTAAAACTTGTACATTAACACAAATGATCCTAACAGCTTTATTTTGTAACAGCCCCAAACTGGAAACAACCCAAATATCCTTCAATAGGTGAATGGTTGAAAAATTGTGATATGCTTCTGCCATGGAATACTACTCAGCAATAAAAGGGAACAAACTATTAATACACACAGCATCTTAGACAGATCTCAAGGGCTATGGTCTGAGTGTGATTCCCCAAAATTCATATGTTGCAAGTTAATGCCCAATGTAATGGTCTTAGGAGGTGGGGCCTACGGGAGGTGATTAGGTCACGAGGGTAGACCCCTCAGGAACGGGATGAGCACACTTATAAAAGGGGCCTGAGAAAGCTCCGTACCCCTTCTCTCACGTGAAGTTATAGCTGGAGGACAGCCTTATATGAATCAGGAAATGGGCTCTCACCAGACTCAGAACCTGAGCACGCTGGCACCCTGATCTCAGACTCCCAGCCTTCAGAACTGGAAGAAATAAATTTCTGTTGTTTATAAGCCACTCGGTCTATGGCACAGCAGTCTGAACGGACTAAGGCATCAAGAGACTTGCGCTAAGTGAAAAAAAACCTAATCTCAAAAGGTTATATACTGTATGATTTCATTTATATAATAATTCTGAAATGACAAATTACAGAGATTGAGAACAGATTAATGGTTGTCAGGGATGGAAGATAGACAGTAGGAAGTGAATGAGGCCACAAAAGGGTAGCACATGAGGTCTTTTTGTAGGATTTGTTCTGCATCTTGATTGTGATGATGGACACACAAACCTACATATGCGATAAAACTGCACATAACTAGATACACATAAAAACACACACAAACACAAATGAATGCTTGTCAACCTGGTGAAATCTGAATAAGGTCGGTGGATTGTATCGATGTCAATTTCCTATTTGTGATGATAGGATAGTTATGTAAGGTGTTATCACGGTGGCAAGCTGGATGATGAAGGGCATATCTCTTTGTATTATTTCTTACAACTAATGTGAATTTACAATTATTTCAAAATAAAATGTTTTTAAAAGCACTATATGGTTCTTCTTTATTCTAAGTGTCCTATCTTTCTAATGTTTCACCCATTAGTTGTCTAATTGCTCCCTTGCCAAATCTTGTTACTTTCTATAGGAACATTTCACTACAACTAGTAGTTTAACTCTTGCTTTCCAAAACCTCTCGTTCATTGTTTACTATTATTAATTGGAGCACACTATCTGGAGACAACCCTATATTAGAATACTGACTTTCATGTGGCATGAAGTGGAAAAAAACACTTACTTTCTGAGTCTTAGTTACCTCATTGGTAAAACAGGGGGAAAACCTATGACATAGGCTTATTGTGAAGATGAAAAAAATAATAAGTACTTGGCACATATGAGTTCCTTAAATATTCATTTCCTTCCTCTTCCCATTAACAATCTAAAACCTAGCATAATTTCTGGATGAAAACATCAACAAAACCTTTGGTTCACAGTTTCCAAGGCTTATATTTGGAAAACAGGAAATGCATCTTTAATGAGCACATTGGGGGCTGGGGACGTGATGAGCCTGAATTCAGTTCTTAAGAAGTATTTCAATTGAGGAGACAATAATAATCATTTTAATCTTATGTTCTCATTCCGAGTTTGAAAACATTCCAGCTACAAAAATGATTTATAAATGTTTTAGCATATCATTCATTTTATTATGATTAGCGAGTGGCTGCCATATAGATATTTAAATCTGGAAATAGTAACTGGTCATATGTTAGATTACCTCTATCCAAATACTAAGCTTTAAAAATGACATGGACACCCATGATAGAATTTCATCCATTCCATCTACCTACAAATGTATTTTTTAGTAACAGATTCCCCACAAGGTATTAGGCTTTAAATATGACATAGATTTTTAGTTATAGCTCAACCAATTAAGCTACAGAGTAGGAAACAAAGTATATTTAACTTCTACTGGTTACCTGCTCTGTTTATGAACAGTCACAAGATACAAAACGCCAAGTGGGAATACTTGAGGACAAAGTCCCCTCAAACATTTTTTTTTAAGTACTGATACAATTTTGCAAAGTTAATGCTTACCGAGCAAAATAACTTTGTTTCCGTTCCTTCTTCTCTTCCTTGGTATCCATAATACGCAATCAAAAGTGCAAAGTGTTTGGGAAAGTTCTTTTTAATCAGTGAGTCATAACCCTGTAATAAAATAATAAAGCGATTGTCAATTAAGACGCTTATAATAGCCAATATTAAGAATAAAGCAGCGTGGAACTACAGGCCCCACAACAAATGGAAGATAAACTTTAACCAGTAAACACAGTCCCATGAGTCACATACGAAATACAAATGCCCATGGTGGACTAAAAACCTACAATTAGAAGGGAGTTTTTTAAACTACAAGAGGTGGCTGGAAAAACAAACTGAATTATTTTCCTCATAACCAACCATTATTTCAAAATGTGCTAAGATGAACACCACTGACTTTGGAAGATTTTAGGCTAGCTATGCAGAAGCTAATTTTTTTTTTTAATTTTTTAACTCATACTCACTTTTTCAAGTAATTAATAATGAATATGTCTCATACACAATTACAAAAAATGGATCACTTAGGTGTTCGACAAGATGTTCTTTCTTTAAAAATGAAAACATCAGTGTACTATTTTATTTTCGAAACACATCAGTGAGTCCATTCCACTTGAGCAAATGTGGAAATGAAAGTACAAAGCCTCAGAAAGCCATTCTTCAGAAATGGCTTTATATGCTTGCCTCTGCTGCCTTGCCCTACGTTTCCAAGGAGTGATTTAAACCTATAACAAAAGGTTGTCCCCAGATCAATCTTCCCTCAGTACCACTTTTATCACCACGCCCCTGAGCAAAAATTTCCAGTGTCTACTTATTGCCTGATTCACTAATCTAAATTTTCTGCAGTGTGTTAACCTTTCCTAAAATCTGTCTCTTCACCCTGAAGGGGTATCAAAGTAAAAGTAAAGCATGTTCATCAATCAAAATTATTTACTAATTCATTCCAATTCAATACACAATTTCATTCACGATACATATTACATGAAAGGCACTGTGACACGTATCAGAGACCAAAGATAAATAAGACATGATATTTGCCCTAATGGAATTGAGTGTCTTGGTGAGGGAGACACGTAGAGCTTCAGGTCAGTGGGCCATGAACTGCTTTGGAGAAGGCACAGGGGTCACAAGAGCCTTCGGGACAGGCACTCAGCCTGACGCAGGCCACACCCAGGCACTCATCACACACCCCAAGGTTTGAGGGATAAGTGTGGGTTTACTAGTTAAAAGGTACAGGGAAGCAGGCCCAGCTTGAACAAAAGCAAGAAGACAATATTTCACTTCTATGCCAAGAAGCAGGACAGTGGTGGGGGCCGAGGATGAAGACATGGGCAGGATTCGGGTCATGGACGACTTTTTACGTAACTCTAAGGAGCCTAAACTTAACCCTAGCTATGCATTACGATGTGCTGCCCACCCCCTTCACTGCACGTCCTTCAGACACACCTAAGCAATCATGCTGAACCCAACAATAGCACTCACGGCAGATGTTACCAAATTGACCGGAGCTGGCTCATGAGGTAAAACCATATGTCTCATCCCTAGTACATATGAAAGGAAGCCACCTAAGGGATTTACATGAGGAAGTGCAACATACACAGATTGTAGAGGATGGACTTGAGAGGACTTGAGAATAGGATAACGTAGATCTATTAGAAAGAAAGGACGGTAAAACTACTGCAGGGAGAAGGGCCCACCCTTAGGAAGCAGTATTTGAGAGAAAGAGGAAGGATGAATGCAAGAAATATTTAGGAGACCGATGAGTCTAGATTTGGTGACTCATTCAGTTACCAAATGTCTTCCGAGATTTGGAAGACAACGTGGAAAAGAGAGAAATGAAGAATGCCCATGTTTCTGCTTCAGGGACTGGGTAAATGTGATACCACATCTGCATGAATAGCTCAGACTGTGTGTGGGATGAGCAGCAAAAGAGATGAAGGACCAGTTTTAAACATGTTGTCTTTGAGACACCCATGGATAGTCAGCTGGAGGCATTCACCAGACACGTGATCACATGGAAAGCATAGGAGTGAAGTTAGGGCTAGAGAAAAAGGTTTGGAAATTATCAACACATGGTTGTAGTTAAGGAGGAAAAAACAAAACAAAACAATCACGAGAATACACTGGAAGTATGCCAGCTATGCACAAGGCCCTGTATGGAAACACAGTCTCAACTCTTGCTGGTTTATCTCCAAGTCACTGACACGGACTTTAGCCTCAAGGAGTTTACCAACCAGTAGGAAAAATAAGGTGTGCAAATAATTAAAATGTAGGGTTAGTAACGTGGATCTGTCCCAAAGAATACTACTAAGCATCAAAAGACACAAAGTTCAATTTTGACTGAGGTGTTAAACTAAATCTTCCAGGGCAGTGGGGATTTCAACAGGTAGAGAAGAGAGAGACAGCATCCCAAAAAGAGGAGACACCTGAACATAGGTACGGACGTAAAAAGGGCAAGGCACATTCAGGCAAGGACAGAGTAGCTACCAGGTAGGAAAAGCAAACAAACCATGATGCCTGCCCACCATCAGTCATTTACTTCACCATATTATCCACATGGTATCTCGTTTAATCTTTACAACCACAGGATGAGTTAGGTGTCCTTATTTCCATTAAAAGGAGGCTGAGAGATACTAGTTTCCTTAGTTCAGCAGCAGCAGTTGAACCAGCACAAATCCAGTTTGGTGTACACTTCAATGCCTTTCAATACCCATGGAGCCATAAAGCATTGGATTATGAGCTGGAAACGTAATGAGCTGGCATCAACACCATCCAATGTCTCAGCACAGATTCTGCAGGTTAAGAAAAATGTACTGGTCACTGGGGGAGCGGGTCACTGCGACCTCCCACAGGACCGCATCAGTGGCATAGTGGAAATGAAGCCATGCCTTAACGAATTATCCAACTCAGTACCTTAATCTTGACTCTTTCCTCAAACTTAAAATAACTCTGCCACACCCCTCCTTCTGACCAGATCTAGCACAAGGCCCATTTCTGCTTTGAAGCCTTCCCTGATCTCTTGTGTGGCCATCTCTATCTTTCTTAGGAGCTTATTTCACATGTCACTGATCACATACTGTGAGGCAGTGAATCATACACTGGGTGACAATGCCACATCACTTAGCCTTTTTAGCCCCAAACAAGGCAAAAGTTCCTTCAAGTCAAAAACTATGTTTCACACTTTACTTATACTTCCCTAAATACCTAACACAGAACTGGGCAAAAAAAATCCACCTAAAAGCTAAGCAAGGAATTAATCTAAACTTGGGGTATGGTCTATTACATGGCAGACTGATAAAAATCCAAGAATTCCTCCTAAATTAAGAATGACTTGGGGGTGGGGGTTTCAGACTCAAGCCAGCCTCTCTCAGACTCCAGAAGGGATCAGAATTTCAGCGTTCTGCCCTGCCCTTGGCCACGTGGCTTATTTTAAAGTTCCTTTCCTGTACGCCACCATATGCGATGATCTCTGTTTATTAGGTTTCCCCTCATGAATAAATATGAAGTCATAACAATCTAATTGGAAAATTTTTATATTGCAAGCTGAGCCAGAAACTAGTATTTGGTTTTAGTGGGAAAATACTGACAAAAATAAGCACAAGAGAAAAAGATTAAATGATCCAAGAACTGACATCTGGTGATGCTGTGTCTGTTTAGAACGGGAGAAGCTTTTTTAAAAAAATATATTTCAATCGATAAATAAAAAAAAATATTAATCTTTGGTGTCTTTCACATTTCTGGGAATTTTTATATTCCTTAAAGAAGGCAGATGGAGTCCTTTCAGGTCTAGATACACACCAACAGATGAACCAGAAAGAGATGAGCAAAGGGTGCTATAAAAATGATTTACACAGAACACCACACCGCAGCCTTTACGCTTCAGTGAAGAGCCACAGCTCCTTAAATCAATTTCTAATGGGAACTACATTTTCCATTATTGTGGTTATAATGGGGTTCTTAAAAGCCTTTCTTTCACTTAATGTTGACTTTTCCTCACATCAATAAACTCTAGGTTCATCCAAACACTGAATTATAACAAGCTCCTGCATTTACGGCATATTAGAGACCAAAAAGAATTTGATGAGGGACCACAAGATGAATCTTCTATCTAAATGTTTATTTTTGTGACCTTAAATCAGGGTAGTCAATTCAAACCTAAATTCAGTTCATTATTCAAATAACAATGGCATATCCAAAATTCTTACCTCCTGAGAGCTGTGTTGAAGACAAAGTATTTTTCTGTATTGCCAGCAAAATGCTCCTTGTTTGAGATCACGGCACCACTTAGAAAGAACTGAAGTACTGAGCTGTTGAAGATGTCCTAACAATATCAAACCAGTAAGGACCCAGACAGCCCAGGGTGGCTTTTGGCTTCACATCTAACACACAGCAGCCCCTTGTACTCGTTCATTCGGGTATAACCAGTCCAGACTAGAAAAACACAGTATGCTCATGATGTCCATCAACTGTTTTCCCCAAAACATGTTTCCTGATATACAAATGAAATAATGACAAGAACATGCTTTGAGGCTTGGTCACACTCAGTTTGACCACTGAAGGTACAGACCAAGATTTTTCTTCCTGCGCTGATATTTCCTCCTAGAAAATACCTCCACTTATACAGAAATATAACAAGTGTTCAGTCTTTCTCAAAGCCACGCTGTCATCTAAACAAAGGAAGGATATTCAAATGTCAGTGTTAACCACAGTCAGAAATCTGAACATTCTCTTTAGGAATATGGGAAGAAAGTCACAGAGGCAGATACAAAAGTATGCCACAAACATGTAAAGGGAGCATCCAGGAGATAATGCCCCCAAATAAACAAATGCATGTCACAAAAACAAAGCAACAAGGAGCTAAAAAGTTACGCCTGAATCAAGGTGACGATCAAGGGGCAGGCCAGTAGTCTGCTACTTGGGAAAATGGGATGAAGCCAATGGATGGCCAAATGAATGGAGAACTCCTCAACTCTTATTCCAGTATTCTTCACCTAACGGACTGAAATTAGACGTAAAAAGAATTAAATAACTGTGTTTCAGTGCTCTCTTACCAAGATGAATAAAGAGATTTCATTGAAGCAGCTAGATACTCTAAATGGAGATCCATCTCTGAA